ATGATCAATATCATAAACGACTTACTAATGAAACCGTATCATCGTCGAGATTAGTACTCAAACCGACATTAAAAAGATCGGTTAGCACGTCACCGAAACGCTGTTAGCGTGCCCGTCTTTTAGTTTTAGAAACAGATATGGAAGGATGTACAAACGTTCTTACAGAACCGCAAATACCGGAAGGGTGTAGGAGGATGTGCACCCTTAGATAATTTAATTTTTTTTTGTAGTAAATGATTAGAAAATCAGCTCTTTCACAATTCTCTAGAAACAGGGCGTAGCAAAACACTGTTAGTTCTGTGGAGCTCGTTTTTAACATTTCAGGATACTATGAGCGGAAAATATTTTTCGGCTTTCGTACTACACCGGACGACTGTTTTAATAGATTTCGCATTACCTCGGAGAGACATTGAATTTTACTCTCCTCCCCTCTAATATTCATCTCTTATTTGCGGCCCTGGGGCCTGTTTCTCAAAACAACTTAACTGCGGCCTGTTTCTCGAAAAAACTTAAGTTTTACTTAAGTGAATAATTTCACTTAAGTAAACAGGAAATTATACTTAAGTGTTTTTGAGAAACTCACTGAAGTAAAATATTTTACTTAGGTGAAATTATTCACTTAAGCAAAACTTAAGTTTTTTGGAGAAACAGGCCGCACTTAAGTTGTTTTGAGAAACAGGCCCCAGGTCCCTGCGTCATTATATATATGTGTGCAGGCAAAGAACTACGACGACATTGTTGGTGATGTGATAAAGAAAACTGTTGTTCAATTATAGACTTGTGTTGTTGGTATAGATGATGGTGAATAAAATAATTTATTTGTATATGAATTAAATTCGCTAGTTAATAATTATAAAATGGATGAAAAAATTTTATGCCACTACCCGTGTGCTTAATACCGACAAAAGACCGACGGTTGCCGGCAGGTATACCGCCATAGTAAACGAAAATACCGTCCAGTATATGATATTGATCATATAAATGTAAATCATCATAAGCATATGAAAACTGTTTTAACTGTTGTTTCAATTTATTAACCGTTTGATGATCTTTCCGATCATTAAATTTTTCGTCTTCACCATAGTATATTTTCCACCAGCGTCGTCGTTCTTCGGGATCTTTTAATTTTTTAATAATATGTTCACGTTCATGAGAATGATATAAGCGTTTGAAAATGTAAGCTGATTCATCCAGATGAGCCCCGTTCAATACAGAACGAATCAAGGTTAATAATAAAGCAATTGAGTAAAAAACAATTACAACACCAATGTAAATAGCTGCACCATTATCGTCATATACACTGTGCTCAGTAATATTTGAAGATTTTATTGACACATTGTGAACCATCGGAAAAACACGTAATGTAATTGCTGAAAAATCGAAAATATTCATCCCTTGTATACAGTTTATACTGATTGTTTTACAATTTTATTTTTCACTAACTTAATACTATATTTACCTTATTCCTTCAGTATCCTTTGTTCTTAAAGTTTCACTACGTACACTGTCTGTTTTATATACAAATTTATTTTGAATAACATAAACAATAAAAAAATTTAAAATGGTACTTCATTTGTCTCTCAAATTTACTTTCAGTACTTTTTTTACAATTATTAACAGATTCACATTTGTTAAAAGAAGTGTCTTTTAGAATTTTAAATCAGATAGGCGTACAGGTGTCCCGTGACATGTTTTATTGTTCTTGAATAACCGATTAGAGTACTTGATGTATTTATTTTTTATTATTATGATCAAAATAACAATATTTGTACAACATGGACGGATAGATATAGTTAGAAGAAATATATAATATTTCTAAAAGGTTGGTGAAAATTCTTGACCTAATTTCTCTTGTTGCTTCAATTTTTCTTGAGCATCGTTTTGCAACGTCTCTAACTAGAAAAAAATTAATTTTGATTTAGTTTACTTACCATTGTTCAATCATACTGTTATGCATACACTAACCTTCTCGAGTGTTATCGATTTCAATGGCATTATTTTTGGTTTCGAAACAACATACTTCAGTTCTTCATTGAAATATAATAAACCCTTTGTAGGTATATACTCGTCAATACGAACTTTGGTTTCAGACATCTAAAATAACAATGATTTTTCTAATAATATTACGATAGATGAGAAGGGAGCAGCTAGCGATATAACATTTTTCTTAAGAGAAGATCGAAAAATATGAAGGATCGTTTCGTCATTAGCATAATTAAAACCTATCGATTTGTAATATTCATTCACCTTTCAAAGCTCGAACATCAGAGATGTTTAAGAGCTGTTTTGAGAAAATTTAGTAAGCAAACGTTTGCCAATCGATAGTACTCAAATTCTGTTTTTGTTCTGATGAATAAGGCGTTCGATGAAACGGTTGAAATGGAATGAAAAAATGGAGACAACCGTTTGTATCAAATAAACTATCTGATTCTATTTTCAAATATGCAACACTAAATGTATTTTAAATTTTGTAAAAGAAATTGTTTAATATATTTCATGTGCAGAATAATACGATAAATCGCGACTGAATCTAATATCAATTATTAGAAAAATTTTACATATCTTCTTTAGAAAAAAAGAAGTAAAAGTAATGCTGAAACACACGATAAAATCTCTTTTCGCTGTGCTAAAAATAAAAACATCCTTTCCTTTATAGGGAACTTTCAATGTTCATATATGTTTTCTTTTTTATACACGTATCTTAGTAACCTACGTTATTTCGTTTTTTCAACTAAACTATTATTCGTCCTTTTAGTTGGGGTTATTTTATTTCACATTATCGATTAGTATCAGACGTAACGGTTAATCATGCTGTTGTAATATTATTATTTGCTGTTTCAAATTGCCTAAAGTTGTTTGGTATAAAGATATGAGAGTAGTGACATCAGTAACGACAATAGTCAAAGTCACAAAGAATATTAAAGTGAAACATGATCGCATAACTTCACTGATCGTGTAATGAATATTATTAGTCTACACCATTTTTGTTATTTGTTGAAAAGAATTGTCAATACTTTTGAGATGATTGTTTTTTCCTTCTATTCTATTTAAATTCTTCTTTAAGTACATTTGCTATTTTCTAACACATACAAAAGGAAAAATTTTTGTTTCCGGTCTGCTGATTATTTTTTTCATACCTTCATAGAAGAAAAACAGTGGAACTATTTTACGGATCGAAGAAGTCTATTCTCTGTAGAATTCAGACATGAGCTGTTACTCTTACCGTAATGCCATGCCCTTTCTTCTCTAAAGTAGTCAAGCAATTACATTCGTTTGCGAAGTCTTTTTAAAGTTAGAATGTAGCATTCTGTTTATGAGATTAAAGATAGACATGACCGGTAACAACATTTTTTGTTACCGTCAGTGACTGTAACATAGTACTTTACAGCCCATGTCTAATAGAATTCTCTATAAACTTTGAAGTGTCTTAGACGTTTAGGAGTATAAATTCATCCATAGTGTCTTCCTCATGCTGAAAACGTTCTCTTTACCTTCCCCTAGAGAACGTACTTGATGCAAGTACTTGATTACCTGCTAAGTATTTGGTAAGTACCTGGAAAAATGGGCAAGTGTTTTCAAAATTTCTCACTTGCCATGTACTTGCAGAAGTGCTTCTCAATGATAAAAATACTTGGTTTTATCACCCTACTTGCCTAAACCGAAAAAAGCATATTTAAAAACCAAAAGTGTTTTTCTGTTTGACCAAAAAACTAAAGAGTGTTTTTTAGAAAGAGTCGAAGGTTTTTCTAGCTTTGGTAAAAAACAGAAGGATTTTTTCTTAAACGCATTTGGTTTAGAGAAACATCGTTTTGGGTTTTTCAAGAAGCGACGGATTTTCCAGTTTGAGCAAAAAATCAAAAAGGTTTTTCAAAAGAGTTAATCGGACACTTTATATTTCGAAATCCAACAAACAATTTATCTTAATGTCGATGAACTCTTATGTAGCGATTTCTGTGTAAAGAAAGAGTGAAAAAGAAAAACTTTCGTTACGAGATCTCTCAAAATAAAGTGTTTCTTAAGGTAATTGACATACTGATTTCACCATGTTTTACCCGGTCTCTTCGAGAACATANCGGGAGCATAATGCTTTAATTTTGCTTTAGAAAAGTTAAAAAGCAGATATAAACTAAAAATAGGGTTAAAATCAGCAGTCGCTTGGATAAGACAGGTTAGGACCGCTCGCCACTATCTATTTACATGAATACTATACCAATGCTTAGGAAAACGTATCTTTGTGGACTTCTGATATAGAATAGTATAAGTTTACACAGTGAATATTAAACGACAATAGAGAAACACTCAAATAATATTACCTTGAAAACAATCCAAGTACTTGCAATTTTACTTGACAAGTGCTTGTCAAGTGAAAAATCAAGTACTTGCACGCTGGAGTACTTACAAGTAAATTTACTTCTGGAACAAAGACAAGTACCGGTTTCATTACGTAAGCGGAGTACTTGTACCCAAGTACTTGGGTACAAGTATGTTCTCTTGGATCTATCTTAGAAGTTCACTAAAAAAAGCAAACTAAAAATCTCTTCATTCTACATATCTTATATAAGAAAGTCATAAAAATGTTAGAATTGAAAGAAAGAGAAAATAGGAAGGAAGAATACTCCTCCTTGCAGCTACCCTTACTGGTGTAATGCGCTGCCGCATGGCAGTTTCAATAGCCCGATATCTTCCCTGCAGTTGACAAGCTTCTGACATTGTCATCCATCTCGTTACTAGTCATCAACCACAGCTCTGGACAGAAGGCTAGCCTGACGCAGAGTACTTTCGACCAATTACTTGAGCACACGCACTCACTAACGGCGTACTAGCCTTCCGAAAAGCTACGCGAACTAGCCAGAGGAACTGTATTGTACATCGCAACGTATTGAGTATGCTGTCGGACGGTGGACTGAGACATTAAGTCATAAGTAACTTGTCCAAGGTTATCACGTGACTTAGCGGCGCTGATTTTCGAACACAGTATGTTTGCAGTACGTGGCGAATAACATAACCACTAAGCCATTCTGTCTTGAAAAAACGAGACGTGTATTGCAAAACCATGATACCTGCTATCACACAAAATTTCGGCATTCAAAACGAGAACAATAGAACAATTGTTTCATAATCTTAAACTTTTTAGTGCACTATCAAAATAACACACCATTTACCGTTTGATAATGTATTTTTAATTATCAGTTCAACAAACGGGTAAATAGGGCTACTAGCTCTAGATGAATCAGGAATACAGGTGAACATTAAAAAAATAAAATGAGACATTAACAAAAAATATTCAGTTGCTGAAATATAGCACAATAAAGAAAAGAGAAAAACAAAAAGAGATAAAATATCAGTGCAGCAGCGACAACAGACATAGAGCACATTTGTGAGCAAAAAGAAAATGAAACTAAATATACTAATTCTAAAATATTAATTGTATAATGAAAAAGTCTAGCTGAGAATTTCAAAGAAAAAGAGTCTAACTTTATTTCGAGGTTGAAAATAGTAACTAATGAGGATTCTTCCTTCTTAAAAAGATATTCATAAACTAAGACTACATCATATAGATAAAAATGATTGTATAAAAAAATGAGATTTCTGTTCAATTAAACACACGGGAAAACACACGAACAAAAACTAGATAGATATATGGATACTGTTTTAAATACTATTGAAAAGAAGTCACTGTATTATTGTAAAAAAAATATCTGCTGATATTGTCGCTCGTAGACAAAAAACCCTGCTCAAAACGTAGAATAATTTTATTTCTCAATGTTTTGAAAGAATATACTGCTGTCTATTGTTGTCATCTGATTGTAGATGATAATCGGTTTGACTAAAATTTGAACGTAAAATATTTTCATTTATGATATTATTTTGACAATAATCAACTGATGCTTGCTGAGTCATCATTTTTGTTATCGTATCTTGCGTAAAGTCTAATATTGGATCAAATTTTTCAACTTTTATCGGTAATGGTAAGAGACTAGTGTTTAATAATATATTTTGATTTCGTGTGGTTGTTGATAAATCAGATATATCACTGCCATGGATTTTTGAATGTTTTCGTAGATGATCACTTCGTAAAAACCGTTTGTGACACTGAGTACAGGCAAACTTTTTTTCACCTAAATATATGCATTCACATACATATAGAAAAGAAATATGTTGTAGGATGATCTAGTAATCGTACCAGCATGCGTTCGTTCGTGTCGGAGTAATTCATCACTTCTCGTAAAACTTTTACCGCATAAATGCCAATTACAAATATAAGGTCGTTCACCAATGTGAGATCTGAAAGCAAATGAGAAGTGCATCAAAAATAATAGATATTCGCTGAAGAATTTAAAAGATCCGGAATTAGAATTATCAGTAACTCCATTACCCAAGCAGACAAACATTTGGAAAAACGCGTTTAAACGCTCAAAAGGGAACCGCGATTGTGAGCCAGTAACGCTCATTAAAAAAACGCAAGAAACGCGTTTTTTGCGCAAAATTTTCACT